TAAATATAATACTTCACATAAGCAAAATGAAAGAAAAAAAATCACATCATATCAATAGATGCTAAAAAACCATTTGATAAAATCCAGCACCATTTGTGATAAACACACTCAGCAAAGTGGTAATAGAGAGAGCAAACCCCAACTTAATAAAGGCCATATATGAGAAACCTGCTACCAACATCATACTCAATGGGCAAAAACTAAAAACATTTTCCTTAAGATCAGGAACAAGACAAGGGTGCCCATATTCACCACTCTGATTCATCATAGTCCTGGAAGTTCTAGCCACAGCAGTTCGACAAGCAGAAGACAGAAAAAGCATCCAAATTTGAAAGGCGGAAGGAAAACTATCATTATTCACAGACAATATAATAGAATACACAGAAAATCCTATAGTCTACACCAAAAAACTACTTTACCTAATAAGTAAATTTGGCAAAGTAACAGGATACCAAGTCAATATTCAGAAATTGATGGCACTCATATATATCAAGAATGAAGTATTAGAAAGAGAAACTAATAAAAAAATCCAATTTACTATGACAACAAGAAAAGTGAAGTACCTAGGAATAAATTTAACCAAGGTTTTAAAAGACTTGGAAAATTATAGAACACTGAAGAAAGAAATTGACAAAGATACAAATAAATGGAAGCATATACAGTGTTCATGAATTGGAAGAATTAACATCAGGAAACTGTCCATACTAACCAAAGCACTCTATAGATTCAATGAAATTCCTATTAAAATACCAATGGCATATTTCACAGATCTAGAACAAATATTTTAAAATTTTTATATGGAACCAAAAAAGATCCCGAATAGCCTCAGCAGTCCTGAGAAAAAAGAACAAAGTTGGGGGGACCGCAATACCTGATATTAAAGTATTCTATAAGGCCACTGTAATCAAGACAGTCCTTTACAGACAGAAGAACAGACATATAGATCAATAGAACAGAATAGAGAGCCCAGAAATAAACCCAGGTCTCTATTGTCAAATAATATTTATCAGAGAGGGTGCAAGCGTACAATGGAGTAAAAACAGTTTCTTCAATAAATAGTGTTGGGGGAACTGGACTGGTACATGAAAAAAAATGAAACTAGATCACCAACTTACATCATCCGCCAAAATAAACTCAATATAAGTCGTGATAACATGAAAGTCCTAGCAGAAAACATAGGCAGTAAAATTTCAGACATCCCATATAACAATATTTATGCCAATATATCTCCTAAGGCAAGAGAAATAAAGGAAAAGATAAACAAATGGGACTACATCAAATTAAGTTTCTGTGTGGCTAAAGTAACCATCAAATTGGAAAAGGGAATCCCACCATATGGGAGATATAACTGATAAGAGATGAATAATATAACTGATGCTGTATCAGTTTGCTAATAATATAACTGATAAGGGATTAATATTCAAAATATATAAAGAACTCATATGACTTAACACCAGGGAAACAAATAACCCAATTAAGAAATGGGAAAGGACCTAAATAGACACTTGTCTAAGGAGAACATATGTGTGGCCCATAGACATATGAAAAAATGCTCCACATCATTAGCCATCAGAGAGATGCAAGTTAAAACCACAATGAAATATCACCTCACACCTGTCAGGATGGCTATCATTAATAAGTCAACAAACGTGCTGGTGAGGATGTGGAGAAAAGGGAATCCTAGTGCATTGTTGGTGGGAATGCAGACTTGCGCAGCATCTGTGGAAAATAGTGTGGAATTTCCTCAAAAAATTAAAAATGGAACTGTCTTATGACCCAGCAATTCCACTGCTGGGAGTACTGTATTTTTCAGACTATAAGATGCACCTCCCCCAATTTGGGAAGGGAAAGGGGAGTGCGTCTTATAGTCTGAATGAAGTTTACCTGGCTCACTGTGCTGCAGGGAGGTGCTGGAGCAGGGTCATTGCTGCATTTTCCTCCCAAATGGGGGGGGGGTGTCTTATAGTCTGAAAAATACAGTATACAGTATGCCCTAAGAATCCTGAAACACCAATTCACAATAATTTATGCACCCCAGTGTTCATAGCAGCACTATTTACAATAGTCATTACAGTGTCAAGTTGGAAACAGCCCAAGTGCCCATCAGTATATGAGTGGATTAAAAAAGTATGATACATTTACACAAGAAATATTACACAGCAGAAAGAAAAAAGGAGTTCCTCCTACCTTTTACTATAGTATGAATGGAACTGGGGACAATTATGCTAAGTGAAATAAGCCAGTTGGCGAAAGACAAATACCACATGACCTTATTTATCACTGGAATCCAATGAACAAAATAAACTAATGAGAAAAATAGAACCAGAGACATGGAAATATGGAACAGACTAATAGCTGTAGGAGGGTAAGGGGGGAAATGGTAGAAGGAATCAGAAGGGATAAGTCAACAAATATGTATGAATGACTAATGGACATGGACAATGGAGGAGGGATTGACTTTTTGCAAGAGGGGTGGGCTGAATGGAGGGATGCCAAAGGGAAAAAAATTGGGACAACTGTAATAGAATAAACAATAAAAAATAAAGTAGAGAAAAATGCAAATAATGTGTAAGGATCAGAGAGTATATCAAATAGTATAATAAAACTAGTGGAAACCTATTGTTTCTTTTGTTGGAAATTCTGTTAGAAAAATATGACCACTTGCAGCCCTGGCTGGCATAGCTCAGTGGATTGAGCGCGGGCTTCGAACCAAAGCATCGCAGGTTCAGTTCCCAGTCAGGGCACATGCCTGGGTTGCAGGCCACGGCCCCCAGCAACCGCACATTGATGTTTCTCTCTCTCTCTCTCTTTCTCTCTCCCTTCCCTCTCTAAAAATAAAATAAAATAAAATCTTTAAAAAAAAAAGAAAAATATGACTACTTGCTTTGTGGTTTTGATAATATTGCTGTTCCTTATTACAATAATCTCATTTTATGGGTCTAAACATTACCTTCATCAAAATGGTTCTGTATTGCACTATACTTCTACATCTTAATATAATATAATATTGGTTATAGATCCTAATGTAATGTAATATTGGTATATTATTTATAAGCTTGAAAGGGCCTTTTATCAATAGTTATATTTTTGGGGGGGTCAAAAAGTATAGAGTTATAATTTTGTGCTTGCTCATTACACAGATACTAATTTAAACAATATGTATTTTGGACTTCGGGCCAAGATGGAGACACTGTGCCTCCTCACACAACCAAGAGAAGGACAACAAATTTAAAAACAAAAAACAACCAGAACTGACAGAAAATTGAACTGTATGGAAGTCTGACAACCATGGAGTTAAAGAAGAAACATTCATCCAGACTGGTAGGAGGGACAGATGTGCAGCCAGGGCAGAAAGGACTTGTGGCAAGGTGGTGACTTTAGGACTGGGGTGAGTGTCTGCTGGGAAAGCAGGCAGTCCCACATTTGCATTGCAGATAAACTGGGAGGAACAACTGGGGAGTGAGACAGACTGCACAACCCAGGATTCCAATGTGGGGAAATAAGGCAACAAAACCTCTGACTGAAAAAAACCTGTGGGGATTGGGTGGCAGGAGAAATTCCCAGCCTCACAGGGAAGGTTGCTGGAGAGACCCACAGGGTCCTAGAACATACACAAAACCACCGACCCGTGAATCAGCACCAGAAGGGCCTAATTTGCTTGTGGTAGCAGGAGAAGTGACTGAAAGCCAGCCAAGAGCTGAGCAAGCAGCATTGTTCCCTCTTGGACCCCTCCTCCACATACAGAGCTACAAAATAGCATCATGGGTTGCCCCACCCTGGTGAATACCTAAGGCTCCACGCCTTACTATATAACGGGTTTGCAGAGATAAAAGAAATGGCCAGAAAGAAAGAACAGAGCAAAGCTCCAGAAAAAATACAACTAAGTGATGAAGAGATAGCTAGCCTGTCAGATGCAGAGTTCAAAACACTGGTAATCAGGATGCTCACAGAAATAATTGACTATGGTCACAAAATAGAGGAAAAAGTGAAGGCTATGAAAAGTGAAATAAAGGAAAATATATAGGGAACCAACAGTGATGGGAAGGAAACCAGGACTCAATGATGTGGAACAGAAGAAAGAAAGAAACATTCAACCAGAACAGAATGAAGAAACAAGAATTCAAAAATATGAGGAGAGGCTTAGGAGCCTCTGGGACATCTTTAAATGTTCCAACAACTGAATCAGGGGTTCCAGAAGAAGAGGAAGACCACGAAATTGAAAACTTATTTGAACAAATAATGGACTCCCCCAAGCTGGCAAAAGAAACAGACTTCCAGGAAGTCCAGAAAGCTCAGAGTCCCAAAGAAGTTGGACCCAAGGAAGTGCACACCAAGGCCCATCATAATTACATTACCCAAGGTTAAAGATAAGGAGAGAATCTTAAAAGCAGTAAGAGAAAAGGAGACAGTTACCTACAAAGGAGTTCCCATAAGACTGTCACCTGACTTAGAATAAAATTCTAAATTGTTTCAGTTGCTTACAAGGCTCTCCACAATCTGGTTCTAATTACTTCTCTACTACTGTCCTTGCTCATGCCTCTCCAGCCACATTGACTTTTCAGTCTAGTTTTCTGGTCTCTGCTGGCCTGCCCATCTACTCTCCCGACATCCTCCCCACTTTGTCAATTTCTCCTCACATTTCTTCTCAGTCTAATGGATTAGAACAACGTTGGTCATATCACAGTAAATGACTTGGTCAAGGTAATGCAATGAGAAAATTACTTCAGGACTTAGAAAAAGTTCATTATTTGCTTTTATTGACCTCTTATTCTTTTATTTATATCTCAGTGTAGAAATATTATATTTGAAAGTAAAAAAATGGTAATTTTTTTTAAGTGTTCATCTTGGTATTAGTAAAGGATCATTTTTTAGTGCTTTCTTTGCCCCTGGAATTTCAAGATGACTTCTAGTAAAATAAATTACTGCAACTATGTGATGAGATTGAGGCCATGCCACCTCATACCTGGAACTAATTACTTCTGTTCTTTTTACCTGTACAGAGTCTTTCATCCTACTATAAAGGAGGATTTGAACAGAAAATGAGTAGGCGAGAAGCTAGTCTTATTTTGGGTGTAAGGTAGGTGTGCTGCATAAGTATTATTTTGCTCTGTGGCCAAGTTTGTATTGGAAATGGAGAAAATGTTATGATAAAGTTGTCCTTATGTTTTAAATTATGAATAGGAGGCAGAGGAGAAAATGTCAAATTTTTACATTTTAAAACCTCATATCTTAGAGAGTATCTCACACCCCCAAAAAATCAGGCAAAGTTGTGATGTATATTTATTCCCTAACAAGGAGTTATATTCAATGCTAAAGTTTCAAAGCAATTATAATATTCCTTATTGTGACACTGAACTCTTTCTGGATTCAGTTTTATATTTTGATATGTATTATATTTTCAGTTATAATATGGGCTCTTTCACAGTTCTAGTTCTATAATTTGACATCTAGCATATTATTTTATGCTTCTTTCACAGTATGCATTTATTGTCTAACATTAAGATGGTATAGGAGAAAGTTAATGATATTGTATGATTGCTGTGTGATATCATTTAACACTTAAAGTTAATAATTCCCCTACTATAGATTTACCAATAGCTGCATTCAGGTTTTTACCCGAAGTTCCCTTAGAGCTCATGTAATTTTTGTGGGAGTTGGTTATAGTATATAATATGTCATCTACAAAATTCCCTGGTGATGTGAGCAACATAATTAAGCAAATAGATCATAAAGTTCTATATTGGCATAGTATTTTTAAGATTTTATTTATTTTTAGGGGGAGGGAGAGAGGGAGAGAAACATTGATGTTTGAGGGAAACATTGATTGACTGCCTCTTGCATGCCCCCAGCCAAGGACCTGGCCCACAACCTAGGCATGTGCCCTGACTGGGAATTGAAGCAGTGACCTTTCAGCTTGTGGGATGATGCCCAACCCACTGAGCCACACCAATCAGGACAATATATTGGCATAATTTTTACAATGTCCTTTAGACTAGCAGATTTTTAAGCCCAAAACATTTATTGTTTCTGAAAACTTAGCGAGAAAAAAAACAAAAAGGGAGAGGGAGGAGAGAAAATGGCTCATTTTAGCTTGGTGCTTTATTTAAATAATAGATGAGCCCTGTCTTAATCTGAAAATAAAAGAAAAATGATTTTAAAGAGGGGTACCAAATTAGCAAGTTACATACATTGCTGACTATTCTTTGCTTTAATATTATTCAGAATAGCCTTGTTATTTTTTTTAACTTCTGTTGGGTCCCCCATAACATCCCATTCATAGTCTTGAAATGTGAATATGAAACACATTATAAGCCAAACACAAGGGTTTTTGAGACTATCCCTTCATATCAGCCATGGCACTCATATTAGGACTGATAATTAGAAGTTGACTTAAAGTACATTGGGTACACAGTTATAAAGTTCAGAGCACAGGTAATATTAATTTCTACTGCATATGACATTCTTAACATCACCCTAGCTGTGTAGCTCGATTGGTTAGCTCATCAATCTGATAGGCCACGATTGCAGATTCTGTCCCAGGTCAGGACACATACAAAAATCAACCAGTGAATGCATAAATAAGTGGAACAACATATCAGTGTCTCTCTCTCTGTGTCTCTCTCCCTTCCTCTCTCTAAAATCATTAAATAAAAATTTTAAAAATTCTTGACATAAACATGGCACTTATTAACTACTCAATAAATGCCATATAAACAAAAACAGATTCTTATTCTATCACTGAGGCACTGCATTGTATGATCTTGGTGAAGTTATTTTTAGCTTTTCTGCACTTCAGTCTCTTCAATTTTGAATTGGAATTAATATGTAGCTTTATTGGAATAATATAAATTGATAAGCCAATACCTTTTTATAAAAGTGCCTGTGAAATAACAGGTGCTGAATAAATGTTGGCTCCTCTTTCTTCCCATCTTCATTATGAATGCAGGAGCTAAATATTTGCTCTTAACCATTAAATAGAAGGGTAAAACTAATTTGCTTTCCTTTAGCCTCTTCTTTCATTTGGGTAATGTTGATTTTGAGGAGATTCTTCAAGATGTCAGTATACTGTTGTGATTCCATTTTCTGTGGTCAATGAATCTAAACTACTTACACTATAGAACAAGTAGGTAAAGGTAATTTACCTACCTTTTGGAGCAGACTGTTGATTTATTTAAAAAATACTCTGTGTGCTATTAGATGATTCTGTACTATACATTCTTACAAAGCCTAAAATATTTTACTGTCCAGAAAAGTTGTTATAATGTTACAGAAAAGGTGACTCAGACAGCTTCAGGGTTTACGAAGTGGAGTTTTATTCATGCATGCGGACCAGGAGGAGGCAGTCTCCAAATTCTCAGGCAGGGGCTTGCTTATATTCTGCAAAGGCGGCAAGCAGGAGAGCGGAGGGGTCTCTGGCGGGAAGCAGGCTTACAGAAGCAGAATGGGGGGGTTAGTGTGGGACCTTGAGACTACTGCTAAGAATGGCTACAGTTCAGTTATGTCCTATCACAATAATACCTGATATTTTCTGAAATGATGCACATTTGTGACTTTAAAACCTTCTACAAGCTTCTATGGAACTCTGTTTAAATGTTATTCAAAAAACCAACAGTAAAAAAGATGAGTCTGGATCCTGTTCCAGGGAGCACAATTTGAAATGGCTAATCTAGGCAACATGCTATTTAAAGTTACATGTTCAGTTTCGTGGTGAAATTATCTACACTGGAAATAAATTAGAACTATATTTAATGTTTATACTATATTTAAGAACTAGGATTCTCCCATCTTGTGTAATCTTTACAACAGGTAAATGTATTAAAATATATTAAGGTGTAAGGGACTTAAAGAGGACAAACTCTGTAGGCAAAGGATAGTACTTTCTTTATTCCCAAAGCTGATCACTAGGAGTCTTATAATTATTTTCTTAAAAGTAGAATATTTTTTTTAATTTTTATTTTTAATTGTTTTTTTAAATATATTTTATTGATTATGCTATTACATTTGTCCCATTTTCCCTCCATTATTCCCCTCCGCCCTGCACAACCCACATTCCCCCTTTAGTTCATGTCCATGGGTTGTACATATAAGTTCTTTGGCTTCTATATTTCCTATACTATTCTTAACCTCTCCCTATTTTCTACCTACCATTTATACTACTTATTCTCTGTACCTTTTCCCACTCTTTCCCCCTCCTATTCCTCCACAGACAACCTTCTATGTGATTTCCATTTCTGTGATTCTTTTCCTGTTCTAGTTGTTTGTTTAGTTTGTTTTTTTTAGGTTTGGTGGTTAATAGCTATGAGTTTGTTGTCATTTTACTGTTCATATCTTTGATCTTCTTTTTCTTAGATAAGTCCCTTTAACATTTCATATGATAAGGGATTGGTGATGACGAACTCCCTTAACTTGCCCTTATCTGGGAAGCACTTTATTTGCCCTTCCATTCTAAATGATCATTATGTTGGATAGAGTAATCTTGGATGTAGGTCCTTGACTTTCATGACTTGGAATACTTCTTTCCAGCTCTTTCTTGCCTGAAGGGTTTCTTTTGAGAAATCAGCTGACAGTCTAATGGGAACTCCTTTGTAGGTAACTGTCTCCTTTTCTCTTGCTGCTTTTAAGATTCTCTCCTTATCTTTAATCTTGGGTAATGTAATTATGATGGGTCTTGATGTGTGCTTCCTTGGGTCCAACTTCTTTGGGACTCTCTGAGCTTTCTGGACTTCCTGGAAGTCTGTTTCTTTTGCCAGATTGGGGGAGTTCTCCTTCATTATTTGTTCAAATAAGTTTTCAGTTTCTTGGTCTTCCTCTTCTTCTTCTGACATCCCTATTATTTGGGGATGTTGGAATGTTTAAAGATGTCCCAGAGGATCCTAAGCCTCTCCTCATATTTTCAAATTCTTGTTTTTTCATTCTGTTCTGGTTGAATGTTTCTTTCTTCTGCTCCAAACTGTTGATTTGAGTCCCAGTTTCCTTCCCGCCACTGTTGGTTCCCTGTAGATTTTTCTTTATTTCATATAATGCAACCTTCTTGCTGCCTGGGTCTTTTTTATGCTGTTGAAACACCCAGAGAGTTCCTTGAGCATCCTGATAACCAGTGTTTTGAACTGTGCATCTGATAGGTTGACTATCTCTTCGTTGCTTAGTTGTATTTTTTCTGGAGTTTTGATCTGTTCTTTCATTTGGGCCATGTTTTGAGTCTCAGCATGCCTGTTATATAGTAAGGGGCAGAACCTTAGGTGTTCACGGAGTGGGGCCACCTGCGTCGCTGCATTGTGACGCTGTATGGTGGGGAGGAGTCTGAGAAGGAACAGTGCCATTTACTGTGCTCTCTGCCAGTTTTCAGTCACTTCCCCCGCTACCCACAAGCAAATTGGGCCCTTCTAGTGCTGATTCCCAGGTGCATGGGTTTGTGTATGTTCTAGAACCCTGTAGGTCTCTCCAGCGAACTCTCCTGTGAGGCTGGGAGTTTTTCCTGCTGGTGCCTCAACCCCCACAGGTGTTTTCAGTCAGAGGTTTTGAAGCTTTATTTCCCGCACTGGAACCCTGGGTTTCGTGGTCTGTCTTGATCCCCAGTTGTTCCTCCTGGTTTGTCTGCATGCGAATGTGGTATCGCCCAGTCTGCCGGCTGCTGCTTTGCCCACACTGGTCCTCCAGTTGCCACCTTGCCCCGGCTGCCCATCTCTGTCTCTCCTATTGGTCTGGATGAAGAAACATTCTTCTTTAACTCCTTGGTTGTCAGACTTCCATACAGTTTGATTTCCTGGCAGTTCTGGTTGGTTTTTGTTTTTAAATTTGTTGTTGTCCTTTTGGTTGTGGGAGGAGGCACAATGTGTCTGCCTTCACCTCCGTCTTGGCCGGAAGTCCAAGGTAGAATATTTTGAGTGGCTATACTTGTGCGAAAGAACTTTCCACTGACTTGAATCTAGTTCATTTGTTGTCAGACCTCAGGGTATGTAATACTTAGGGAGTTTTATATACAAAACCATGTGCATTGTTACTTATAGGCAATACAAGTGATTTTCAAGGATAATCTTGACTGAAGTGCCAAATTTTTTCCTTTGTGCTAAATTAAAG